AAGCGGGGGAGGGGGGGGCGGGGTGGAACTCGATAGCAGTAACGAATCACCGACAGAAACCATGCACGGAATTTATTTTTTAATTCACACTTTGAAGAACATGAAAATTGGCCTTGACACTGATCACAACATTTTATTTTTCAGTTCTTCTTCCCACTTTGAAGTACCACTGTGCCACTTTGATTCCAAGAAGAGATGCAATTGCTAAAAAAATAAGCATTCCCTCAAACACCATACCAAGTAATTCAACCGTGCATCATCATACCAAGGTCCAACCACCAGTCCACGCCTCACATCGCCAGCAGGGCCATGTCAGAGCCTGAAAAGCAACGGCGGCCGCCAATTTCTTTTATTGACAGTGTGCGGCCACCGACTTTTTCCGGATAGGCAACGAATTCCTTTTCAGCAAGGCTGTGGCCGTGTACTGGCGCTTTCAAAGGGTTAATTAACGGGTTCGAGCACCAATTGGTCATTGGAAAAAAGGTCACAAGGACAGGACACAGCTCAAACCAACAGCGCGGACAACTAGCAGCTACGATAAATGTTGAGCATGAAGACACTTCCAGAAGATACAAATCCACACACAGATTAATCAAACGAGTCACGGACGAGGAAACATGCAGAACGCAAGAGACGGTCAAATTAAAAAAGACAGGACCACACCCAGGTTTCCGTCCACGTCATCCTTCGTCCATTGCAAAGCTCCGCCAATGACAAACCATCACCATCCGATTCTACATAATAAGGGGAAAAAAAAATGAGACGACGACGTTCACAATAATCCTTCCCAAACGTAGACTGCAGCCCGTTTTATACACTTCCCCCCAAGTCGTTTCCAATTGGCGTCTCTTACCCAGAATCGCATACGCAGCAACATAGACTCCTATACTCGGTCTACCTGAAATGAGAAGGCACTGCTCCTACATGCCTCAGAGAGGCACTGAACCTACGTTCACGAATTCCCCAGGACCCTCCACAAGCATCATACCAATGCTGACTCCAGTACAAAATTGTATCCTAGTTCAACTCTCTGAGCAGAGTACTTCAAAGCTCGTCCTTCTCCGCCTCCTGCACAACAAATAAACCAAGTAGCAGGCCGCGCATTAGATCACGCCATTTTCTCATTTCAAGCTTACACATGCAAGACAAAACACAGTATCTACCATCTGAGATTCCACCTTACCCACCTATACCTGAGGGTCTGATGAGGTGGCTTCTCTAGAAAGTGTGCAACCCTCACTCCAGATGGCAAAGCAACAGCCAACTGCACCGTCCTCTCTCTCTCTCTCTCTTGGGGTCTGATGAGGTGGCTCCTCTAGAAAGTGTGCAACCCTCATTTCTCTCGATGACAACCTATTGCACGTCTCTCTCTCTCTCTCTATCTGGGGGTCCGATGAAGTGGCTCCTCTAGAAAGTGTGCAACCCTCATTTCTCTCGATGACAACCGATTGCACCTCTCTCTGTCTCTCTCTCTCTCTCTCTCTCACACACACACACACACACACACACACACACACACATGCTAGCACTTGCAAACAAAGATTACTAACACTAAGAGCTTAGTAAAAGCACAGAAGGCAACAAAAGAAGACATCAACAGAATGGAACACCACACCATGGTACTTCTATTTTGACAGTTTGCATGTTCAATAATTGCTGAACACCTTTCTACAAGGACACATGGAGTCCATCCTGACATTTCAGCTCGGGTCAAAACCGGACGTTCTAAGAGGCCTTTCATATCCTGGTCACACTCAGATCACGAAGGGGTCCTGTATTCGGACAAACTTCAATACCCGTCTAGGATTATGTCAAAAAATGGGCCTGCAAACTGGGCCACTGGAAAATGCTCACCTTGGCCACCTCCTCGATCTCTGGAGGCTCATCTTCCTTATCAGCAGCAGAATCCTCCTCCACCCCTTCTTCTGGTAAATCCGCCGTAGGCTCCTGTTTGCGAACACACAGATAAACATGTCCATCAATAAGGAAAAACAAGAACTTCACACATTTGAGCAACAGCACCCTACACAAATTTCCAAGTTATGAAGAGAGTCTGCGCACTATGAAGAGAGAGTCTGTGCACGGATGGAAAAAAAAATGATGGCCGGTGGTATTTCTCTCTACATCTGTCAGATTCTACACAGCCTCTGAAAGATCACAACCATAAAAAAGAAGCACAGGGCGAAACAGATTGCTTGAACCACCACAGCAACAGCCCCCGCAGTGTTCACTTTTCCACGTCTACGAGTACCGGGCCAACGTTTACAGTGCCCAGGCACAAAAGATGTTCGGTGCGGACGAGTAACACACTTGTTCTTTCTTAGAGTGGCACTGTACACTTTAGTGCTCAGGGAACTGCAACTTTTGGTGAGTCAAAACAGGTCCAGATGGAGTGGTGGTTAAAGCCCGCATGCCCAGATCCAAGTCGTAGAAGGGCCTGCGCCATTCTTAGGACGACATTGTAAAAAGAGCATGACAACAGCATTATTTGAAAAGGCAATACCACAAGGGGAAAGAGCAACAAAGCAAAGCAAGCCAAACTTAAACCACCGGTGCTCCGCCCAGCTATAGGCCGCAGAAAAAGAATAGAGTAGAAACTTTTCTTGTGGGATGAACTTGGACGCTCCTGTAGTAGCCCATACGTTTCCTAAAATCATGGCACGTTCACGGGCACGACTCTAGAAAGTACTGGTGGTTAAAGTCCCTTTCCGGCCCAGCTATCGGCCACGGAAAAACAAACGAGTAGAAACTTGTCTAGTGGGATGAACTTGGACGCTCCTGTAGTAGCCCATACATTTCCTAAAATCGTGGCACGTTAACGGGCACGACTCTAGGAAGTACTGGTGGTTTAAGTCCCCTTCCATTTGGACATTCTTGACGGAAACAACTCTCAACTTGCATCCTCCCCACAAACAACATACTCGAAATATCCAACAGTAAAGAGAAAAACCTTCTGCAGAAAAGAATCTCACCTCCACTGAGGCGCCATCCTCATCATCCTCATCATCGTCATTCTTACTTTCCTCAGCGATGCGCTTTCTCTCCTCCTGCTCACATAATGGACAACAATTCACACATTGTTTACACAAGGTAAGAGAATCATCCACTACCACAACCCATGTTGCTCTCAGGCAACAGATAGCCACAGTCTGAGCCCTTGTTAATATCTTTGTTAATTGCTGTCACAACAATAACAGCTCCTGAGACCCTTGAGCCAATCCATCCTGAACTTACATGCGAAACCCACCTACCTTCTTCACCCAAAAATAACGCCCGGGAATTGTATTCCAAGGGACAGTTTTGGTTTTCTTTTTCTATTCCCGAAGTTGTAAGCAATTTTAAAGTGGCACTTGTCCAAAAGTTGATTGCCTTGCAATTCTAAAAAGCATTTTTTTTCTACGAAACTTTCAGAATTTTCTTCTTTTTTCTTTGGGGGGTG